GATACATTTTCTTAATTACTCACATATAAATTCTATTCAGGATTTCATGTAGGGCAGGGTCTTCAAACTTGGCCCTTTTATGACTTGTGGACTTCAACTCCCAGAATTCCTCAGCCAGCATGCCTGGCTGAGGAATTCCGGGAGTTGAATTCTGGGAGTTGAAGTCCACAAGTCATAAAAGGGCCAAGTTTGAAGACCCCTGATGTAAGTGTTGAGATACAGTATCTCCTATTCTGATACAAGGCATATGATCAGATACAGGGCATATGATACAATATTATGAAAGAAGAATATATGTGAACACAGGCATATGTATAGCAATAATCATTTAAATAAGGAATTATTTAGAGCTTATGTTTTTAAAAACCTTTCAATAAAGTAGATTAACATATTGTAATTAAAATGGTTATACCTTTTTCTTGTACATTTCTATTTGTGGATGAAATTATTATTTGATGCTGAAACATTGGAATCATTTAGTATCTGATTCAAATTCCTGTAATTTCTTTTAGAGAGAACTTGGCATGCATGGGATTTCCTGTTATTTGCATATAATATTCCCCATACTCAGCAGCTGTATCTGGATTTTTGTGTTTAGAAGATATAGTTGTGGAGGACAGATGTTGGGGACGGACATGTAGACAGTTCTGGGATCCTATATATATATGTATATGATCAAGGCTCTGTTGACTCTAGCTAATTGTATTTAGTGGGGGATTAGGTGACAGTTAGCCAAGGGAAATAAATGAAACAAAATGTTTTCGGTGAGGACACTTTGATGGACAGAAGGGTAGAGAATGAAGTTTAAATCAATCATGGTACAGGTAGTCCTCGACTTGCAAGTGAGCTCAAAACTTCTGTTGCTAAGTGAGGCAGTTAAGTGAATTTTGGTCTGTTTAATGACCTTTCTTGCCATAGTTGTTAAGTGAATCACTGCAATTGTTAACAATATGGTTGTTAAGTGAATCTGGCTTTCTCGTTGACTTTGCTTGCCAGGTCGCAAAAGTGATTGCATGACTCTGAGACACTGCAACTGTCACAAATACCAGCCAGTTGCCAAGTACCTGAATTTTGATCACCTGACCATGGAGATGCTGCAATAGTTTTAAATGTGAAAGACGTAAGTCACTTTTCAGTGCTTTTGTAACTTAAATGGTCACTAACAAATGGTTGTAAGTCAAGGAGTATCTGTAGTGTGTACAGATAGTCCTTGACTTACAACCATTCATTTAGTGACCTTTCAAAGTTACAACAGCATTGAAAAAAGTGACTTATGACCGGTTTTCATAAGTAACAAGAGTTGTAGCATCCCCACAGTCACACAATCAAAGTTCAGGAACTTGGCAAGTGGCTCATATTTATAATAGTTGCACTGTTCTGGGATTGTGTTATCATTTTTTTAACTTTTCCAGGCAAAGTCAATGGAAGCCAGATTCGCTTAATGATTGCATGATTCACTTAACAACTGCAATGTTTTGCTTAACAACTGTGACAAGAAGGTCAACTCACTTAACTACCTTGCTTAGCAACAGAAATTTTGGTTTTGGTTGTAATAAATCAAGGACTACCTATATTTTGAACTTTATAGGTAGCTTTGGAAGTCATAGCTATCATGCCTTCTCTTTGTATTTTACATTATATATAAGATTTCATGTAATCTTGAAAAGGGTTTCTAAAACTTTTTCTTAAGGATGTAAATCAGAGCAGTGGAATTATCTTGTAACATCACCATTCCAAATCCCACCCTTCTCTCATGTACTTTTTTTTAGAAATAGGCCGATGTGTTTTGCAAATAAGGTAAAATAACCTTTATTTTTTTCCTATGAAGAAATCAGACTTAATTTTTGAAGCTTTGTTCACAGTTGATATTTTTTCTACCAGCTGAAATACTTTTCCAGTGCTAATTACTTTATTTGGAATTTTTTTTCTCAACCGGTTAATCTCATGCCTAAACCCAATTTGTTATTGCATTGCTATTTCACAATACTATACATTAATCTAACTATGGCATTTGGCTCATATTTTGTGCAAACACTGTGTCCTTTTTGGACATATAGGTAAATTTCCATTACCTGATGATTTTTATGCATCTTCATATGAATGGAATTTTTACCTATGGAAATAAAAGTCTTAAAAGTCTGAAGTTGCAACAAATTCAGTGAGGCAATTTTCCAGGTAGTGTGGCACCCTCCTTTAGGTGATTGGATCATATATGAAGCTAACTATGTCCAAGAGTGAATCATATATTTTCCATTAACTATTCAATCACAGCACCTGTGTATCTTCTGCTTGTATTTGCACTTTTAAAAGAATTTGATAAACTACATAATTGACCTATAAATGTCCTTGAGAAAATATTAACCGTTCACCTGGATGGCACTTACATTTTGCTACATCCCCTCACTACATGTTCATATCACAACAAATACAAAGTCAAATACATTTCAAGGGATTTTTATTTTTAGAAATGCTGTAAAAATTTTATATAAAAGTTTGAGCATGCTCAGTCTACTTTTTCCTCGTACTATTTATAACAAAAGTATTTGAAAAGTCTGAAAAATCATATTTTTTTCTTACAAAGTACCATAGCTGCATCAACGAAGGGGGAAGGGAAAGGGAGGGTGATCATTATAAAAATAATTTAGGAAGAAAGACGTTTAGCTTCTTTCGCTTAAAAAAAAAAACTTTTGGCAAGTTTTGTGGTTAAAAGACCCAAGCTTAGCCCATTCCAAAAAAAAAAAAAAATAGCCAAAACACACCCGCCGGCACACAGGTTGTCCCCCCCCCCCCCCGCCGTATTTCAGTCCGGCCTTCCAGGCTAGGTTTCTTGCTTGAGGGAAGAGGCGAGGCAAGGAGCGCCCCTCCCCCTCTCTCCGCGTACCTTTGGCACAGTCCCCGGGGCAGCCCGAGTCTTCTAGCCTGGCCCTCCCTCCCCCCCTCCCCCGCTGCAGTTTGTGCGACTCGCGCTGAGGTATTCACGAAGAAGTTCAAAGTCTTTCTCGCATGGGCGGCCGTGGCGGCGCTGCCTGCAACCGGTTACCGGCAGTCCGTGACCGAGGAGGGTTGCAGGAAAGAGGCGTTGGGCAACTGCTTGAAGAAGTGCCGGAGGCTAGTTAAGTCCCGGCTGAGCTGCTCAATCTTCTTGTGCAGCCGCTCGTTCTCGGCGGAGAGCTCGACTAGTTTCTGCTGCATCTCTTGGTTGCGGCGCTTCGCTTTGTCGCGGCTCTTGCGCACCGCAATGTTGTTGCGCTCCCGCCGCTGCCGGTACTCCGGACTGAACCTGTCCACGCCCTTTTTGCCCACCCGCTCTTTGGACCCCGACGACGACGAAGCAGAAGAGCGGCTGCTGTAGCTGGACGGCGAGGCGCTGCCCGGAGGCTCGGGGGAGGTGGGCGGCGTGGGCTGCCCGCTCAAGTTGACAATGGTTTGGGCGCAAGTAGCAATCTGGGACGGCAGCAGCGAGCCCGATGCCTCCTCGCCCCATTCTGGCTCTTGCTTGACGGCGACCCGGAGCGGGCCGGGGAGGACGCTGGCGTGCAACAGGCTGGCCAAGGCGCTCCCTCCGGACGCTGGCGGAGCCGCCTGTGGCGGCGGCAGGTAATCCCCGTAGCCCCCGCTGCGCTCGCCGCCCTTGTGGTTGCTGTTGAAGAGGTCGGCGAAGAGCTCGTCGTTGCACAGCTCCAAGTTCGGCACGGCCGCCATGGAGTCAATATAGGAGCTGAAGTCGATGGCGCTCTCGTCCTCGTACATGGCCGGCGCGGCGGCACTCAGCTCAGCCAAGTCGCGGCTGCCGCTGCTCGGAGCAGAGCACATCCCCCCGGCTTCCTCGCTCGCCTGGGCGACACTCACGCTGCCCGCCTTGCAGGAAGGACTCAGACCGCCGCTGCCTTCACCCGCCTTGGCGTCGTAGAAATTGGCGGGCTCCAGGGACCAGGTTCGGTAGCACGAAAGCGAGTCCAAGGGGTCCAGGGTGGCTGCGCTCATTGCAAACTCTCAGGTCGGCGAGGTAAGCGAGAATTCGGGGAAGGTGAAAAGCTTAAATGGCCGTCGCTGTGGCTCGTTTCTTGACCTGTGCCCCCCCAGACGTCTCTCGCCCCCGACGTCTCCCAGGCTTTCGCGCCTTCGCACTGGCACGCTGTGCTCACGACGCTTGAGAGGCCAAGATCGTACACGTGCGTTTGAAAAGGAAAACCTGGCGGCGAGGTGCTGCCACCGCCCTTTATATCGACATCGCTTCTCGGACCCCACCTCCTTGCCCTTTCTGACGGCGGAGGGTGTGGCTGGAGAAGTCCCGGGAGGGGGAGGCGGCGGGTCTGGCTCTGTGCGCCTCTCGGCCTCGCTGCCAACGGGGCGGTTGGAGGAGAGGCAGCTGCTGGGATTGGTCTGCAAAACCCGGACCTCCCCCGCTGCTTTGCCACCTTTGATCGGGACCGGGAAGCCAACTTAGGAGCGGCCTTTACCCCCCTCTTTCGGGAGATAAAGAACAGCGTCCTTCGAGTGGCCAGGACGGCGGCTCTGCTCAGATGGCAACCGCCTGCCTTGGCTCAAGCCGTGGGAGCGAAAGGGCAGCTCGCTGGTCCGTCACTCTTCGGCTGGTTCCGGATTTGGAGGGGTTTATGGGCTGAGGCGGCCAAGCAACCGGGAAAGAGAGCCCGTCCTCAGAACAACCCAGGCCACTCAGTATAATTTGGAGATAGACCCTTCGCCTGAAAAGCCCGATATTACTTGGGTTGGCAAAATACCCACCTAACCCGCTCCCAAAGCAATGAGCCTTTCGTCTATCTAATAATCCGTGTGTCTGTATGGAGGTTGGGGTGGGAAAAATGGAGCGAAAGCTGTGAAAAGCCCGATCCTTACTGTGGCTGCGCTGGGGGGGGGGGACGGCGGCAGAGAATGGGTTGCTTTCTGATAGCCATCCTGCCCTTTTACACCTGGCTTATAGACGGCTCAGCTCTTGATCTCTTGGAGAGGACTCGACAACCTTTCTGAGAAGGTGGGGAAAGAGGTTGAATGCTAGTTTTACCTGCCCCATGCTGTGCACACAATCCCATTATGGTTCTGCTAACGCCTTGTATGTATGGTTTTGTAAGATCTCTGAAATGACCAAGTTGTTAGTCTCTGCTCAGAATCTACAAGCTCTATACTTCCAGAACTCCCAGAACTCCCAGTCAACATGGAGTCATACATAACACTAATCAGGACTACACATTTGATTACTTTGATGGATTCATGAACCTGCTGATACACACATGTGGACATTCTAAAACACATTAGATCAAGACATGCATCTTGCTGTTTGAGTTAATTCAAACTCACTTTAAAAAAGAAACACTTGCCAAATCTTTAGTAAACTAGTTATTTGTACCATTTTATCAGATATTGCTAGAAAAATATGCAAGGATTGGTTTGACATAGAGCATAGCCATGGGATTTTATTTTGATATTCCAGTATTTCCTTTGCTACTGATTTTATGTATACTTTTATTTATATTTGCCATAGAAAATATCAATTAGTATATCTCCATTGTATATTTATTTAAATATTGCCCTCTAGTGGCTAAATATTGCCCATATTATTGTGATCCAGAATACCATCTCCTGCTTGGATGAGGTTTGCAGACTATAGGAAATTCTGTTGCCATCTTGAGGCAATTTTAAAAAATACAAAAAGGGTCTTCCTGTTTTCTCAGTTCTAATAGTCAGTTTCATTCTAATTTTTTGTTAATACCATTGCATTTTTGCCTATGAATCAATATTGACTCCTTTAGACAACTCTCATGCACAGTAATTAAAATATGAACATTTTTCAATTATTTCTTTAAAAAAGATTGTTGATTCAGTATGATTTAAATGCCATCATTAATTTAAAAAACAGAAATCCTAATTCTATTGATCCATTAGAAAAAGAATTGAAACTCTGTAAGGGTGTGATAAAGTGTGATAAAAAGTGTGTGCAAAATCTCTGAAGAAATCAGAGAAGAGGGTTATCAATAATACATTAGTAAAGTAGCTTTTTAAACAAAACAATAAAAGCAGTATGTAGCAAACTTCACAACAGTTTTGTTCAAGAAAATATTAAAAAATAGCTTTCTTTGTAGAAGAGGGATATGTACTTTATATATGTAACTAACGCTTTTGTATTACGTTTCAACAAAAAGTATTAATGCAATTACTGTAATGTCAAGACATTCAGGACAGTGGTGACTGTAAAGCTAAGGAAGAGGCTGGCTAATGGTGAGTGGAACAGATAAGCCTCAATTGAGATCAGAAAAAAATACACTATTTACTGCTTAAAAACATTGATTTGACAATTAGTACTTGTCTGCCTAGAGAACCTCTCTGATTGTTTCTGGACCACTTTAGGGGTTCCTTAACTGTGTAAGTAAAACCAACTTATAGCCCTAGTTAAGAATAAGCATGATCTGTGTGGGAAAAACTAATGGTACTGAGGGGAGGATTTTGTGTAGCAGCTAATTCTCAGCACTGTCATCAGCATTATAATTCATATTCCCAGTTTTCCTTAGTAAAAAAATATGACCGTATGCACCGATTTACAAAGAAGCTTTTTAATCCTTATATTCCTACCTCTTAATAAAAGTAGTTTAAATTAAAAAAAACTGCAATCTTTTACTAGTTTCATGAAGTTAAAATATATAAAAATAATTATGCAATTGTAGTGGTATGTGCAAGGCTGGAAAGTGAATCAATAAACAGATAAACAGAATTCTTTGGTCCCTTTCCCACAGGAGCTGATTTGTATTAGAAACTGGTTTCTAAATCCTCTCCACCATGTGTCCAAGAAGGAGTATCTTCTGTGGGCAGCAGCTGTATTTGTGTTCTTTAGAATACTCTTTGCAGCTGCAGGAATTCTCTCAGGATGGGAATTTAAAATTCTCAAGTGAGGAACTATTTAGCGTTCTCTTGCTATCATTTACTTGGTACATCCTGATAACTAATACGATCAGAATTGTTGAGAGCTATTGCTGTCACTCTTTTTATACTTCTGCGCATTATTCTTTGGTTACCCAGTGCTGATAACTCATTTTTTTCTGAATATCCTGAAACCTTTCCTCTGTCTTTATAAAGATTTGAAAGCCACTTGATTTTAATGACTGGATATCCCAGAGTAAAGGCAATAAATGCTTGTCATAGTGCATAGTGATTAGCTGGATGATTAATCATTCTCTGGGGTAGAAAATGTACTGTGCTGTCAGATGTTGGCTTGATGGTTTCCCCTCCTGCTAATTATTAGCTTTTCTTTGGCTTTTTATTCCATTTGATTGCCCAGAGAATCTGATACCAACAGACTAACATTTTTTGTAAAAGCGTACAAAGAAATTTAAACCATTTAGATAAACTAACCTTTTAAAAATAAATCAAGGACCAACTATAATATGGATTACATTCTAGTAAAAATTGTAACGTGTCAATTTTTACCAGACTAAATTGACCCTTTATCTATTGTATGTTGCAAACAGGCAATGCCACTATATTTTAATCATTGGCTAGTTTTCTGAAGAACTATCAGCATCCTGAGCATTTCTTCTTAAAGTTAAAGCTTGAACTAGATGTTTCTTTGTGTGATCCTAATTCATCAGTCTGCCACAGCAAACACATTTATGATAAACTCTAATAAATTAGCAAATTTTGTGAAGAGTTGGGGGGGAGGTCAATCCTAGAAAGCTCTTAAGCCAATCAACCAGAAATTACTTCCCCACCCAATCTAGTCATCAGATCACTATTTTAAAGGATGGGGATTACTGTTCGTATAGACCATGGGTGGAAACCTATAGAGCCCAGATGCTCCAGTCAACATGGCCAGCATGACGAGTTGTCCGTCAACTTTGGAGAACTGCAAGTTTTCCACTTTAAAGCAATTATAACTCACTTTATGGCCTGAATATTTATTCCTTTATGTTTGAAAGTGTTAATGGTAAATGGAAATCAGGACACCAAAGAACATGAGTGGCTGGACACCATCAAAGCTCACACCAGCTAGAGCACAGAAAAATGCAAAGGAGTAGTGCAAAATTGGAAGATGTAGAGGGACCTGGCCCATAGAATCGCCAAGAGTTGGGTATGACTGAATGGTTATCATCATCATCAATATGATCATTATGGCTTGAAAGACTTTAATAGCAACTGATAGATTAGAACAGGGGTCACCAACCCCCGGTCCGTGGACTGGTATTGGGCCATGACATGCCACCAACTGGTCCGCACAAACAAGCAAAGCCCCATCCATGGGATGCAGGCAGCACACAAAGCCACACACTCTGCAATCCATGGAAAAGCCTTTCTCCACGGAACCGGTCCCTGGTATCCAAAAGATTGGGAACCTCTGGACTAGAAGATAACAAATTCTTTTGGGGGGGGGAATTATCAAAACTGATTAAAGCAATCAAACTAATTCCGTATCGTCCAGTAGAATTTATTTTATAACAATGGAGACATCGCTATACAGAAAAAAACACGTGCAGTACAGGATTTAATGTCATTTTTTTTTCCTTTAGGTGCCACTACAATGAAATAATATTTGAAGAAAAGCTTTCATTACTGACTAGACTGGAAAAATTATCTTTGAGCTTGTAAGCATATTGACTACTGAATGGAAAAAGGTAAAATCTCCCACAGAATTAGTTGGACTCCTGCCAACTTTATGGACACATTACTGTTGTCTTCCTGAAAACAGTATAGAAGTATTTTCAAGGTCGCCCTTATTCATAATCCCAGGACTTCCTGATCATCTCCCATCTAAATATAACCAGAAGCAAGTCTATATTACTTTTGAATGGTAAGATTATTTCTGAGCAGCAGTTTGCAGACTTGCAACATAATGTTTCCTGTTTAACATTACATAATCTTGGATGCCTTAATCATTACTCTATTACCATAATATATACTCAGTCCAAGGAATACACTTTTTAACATAGGGAGTTTGGGGTACTTCTTCAAAGTTTGTGGTTCCCATCTGGCAACTACTATCTTCATGTGAATACATTTAACACCATTCTCATCATTCTCTCAGGAGAATGATTTTGTTAATATTAGAAACAAGGAATTTTTTTTAATGGTATTGAGCATAGTAGGTATTAAATAGGTGGGTCAGAAACCAAACTATACTGTAACACTGAATAGTTAAGTCATTTGACAACAATATCTTCTGTCTTTAATAAACAGTACATCTGTCTGACATTCAGAATATGACCATATAACAAGAAGTAATTGCCACAAGAATGCTTTACTACACATGCATTATGGTTAAGAACTTGGTTAAATTATAAGCTTAGAACTTTGCCCTTTAAGCCTATAGGTCAAAGTGCTCAGTAAGTGAAAGACTGGGTATAAGTACAAATTAATGCCTCCTTTTAAGGCAAGCACCTGATTCTTTGGCTGCAACTTTCATTGAGCTTCATATTTTCTTCACAGTACATCTGCTTTAGAAGTAGAATACCTTTATTGATATAAATATAAAAAGAGAAGATAATGCAAATATGTTTAAAACAATTTTAAAATTTTATTATACATACTCACCAAACAATGTAACCAGATAGAGAGGGAGATCTGAAGGCATTCCAAGGACTGATTTACAAAAAGCAGAAGAGAGGAAGGGATGGATGTGTTTTCCCACTATATTTTTATCAGACATCTCCCATCCTTCACAGTGGAAGGAAAAACTACTGGCCAACATTTCTATTAGTCTTGAATATGGAGGATGCACAGCCAGATCATATTTTAATGCCCATTATATGAACTTTTTATATTGGCTTGGAAGATGAGACTTCCCTAATAGGATGATGATGATGATATCCATTCAATTGTGTCAGACTCTTGGCGATGATTCTATGGGCCAGGTCTCTCCATATCTTCCAATCTTAACACTAACGAAATAAATTTAAATAACACCTGGACACTGCCAACTGAACTTGGGCTCAATCATTATGTTTAGGATTTGCATTTTTAAGTTTTAAAAAAATACAGCATGAAGTTCAGTACAGCAAATAGTTGTTTTAAAAAGTAAACATTTTGTTAGATTCAGAATTAATTATTGAAAATATTTTGCTAGTTTTGTACATCCTAAAAACAGATTGTTTATCCATCTGAAACTGTTTACACAAGTAAAAGTAAGCCACTTCTGTGATATTCATGAGGAACTCTTCTAAGCCAGGGCTTTTCAACCAGTGGTACAGGTACCACCTGTGGTACATTGGCACCTGGCAGGTGGTACGTGACCATCCTAGAAAAGTGGTAGCAGGGGAGGGGAATGAGCTGAACCGTTGGCAGCACCACACAAGCCTGAGCGAGGGATGGCTGGGGCTGCAGGGCTGAGCAGAAGCACCAGGATCAGTGCCAGGCTCCAGCTGGAGCTCGGCGCTGATCCTGGCGCTTCTGCTGAGCCCAGAAGAAGCACCGATCAGCTGGAATGTTGCAGCATCTCCAGGTCTTGTGATTTACATTCAGATGCGTGGCAACCGATTCATATTTATGAGGGTCACAATGTCTCAGGGTCATGTGAAGTGACCAAGAACCTGCTGCAACCACCCAGCAGACGGGGGAGTAAAAACCAAACATCCCCACCCCACCTCCGCTGCCAATCCTCAACAGAAATGCTCACAATGAAAACCTCGGACAGGAGGAAGAGCGCAGCTGGGCAGACAGGCAAGTATCTTGCTCGGCTGTGGCTTGGGGGGCACTTTTTTCAGTGCCATTGTAACTTCAAACAGTCACTAAGCGAACTGTTGTAAGTTGAGGACTACCTGTACTTTATCACTTTTTTCCTTTTTTTTTTTTTTTTTTTTTGGTCATCAAGTTTTTGACACCTTGCTAGGCAACTGATGGTACTCGGATATTGCCATATCCTAAAAGTGGTACAATGGATGAAAAGGTCGAAAAGCCCTGTTCTAAGCCATGTTTTGGAGTATCTTTACAGATGGGCCTCTGTGACGTATCTTTCAAAGGTACTCTTGTCTCTGTAGTCTGATTTTTATAATGGAAGGTAAGACCTTATTGTCAAAAGAGTTTATTATTTTTAGTTTCATTTTAAAACTGCACACATATTAGAAATAACATTTCATGAGTGATCAATTTTGTTAATATCTGCGTCAAGGAATGACAGAACTCTGAAGAGTATTATTTAAATATATTCAAAGTGCTCTGTCTACATCACTGCATGTATATACCTTTTCAAATATGCTAAACCATATTGTGTCTCTCTTCTGAACATAACTTACAACTATTTTTTCTGTTCATGAAAGAAATAATTTAAATAAGAAATTACTCACTTTAGCAGCCATACTTATACCCATTAACAGGCAACATGACACTAACGTGAAATCAATTCAGCATATCACAGATTTATAAAATATTCATTTTTAATATAGTAACTAATTCTTACTATCTTTTTCTAGCTTTCTGAGTAATAATTTGGGGTATCTCTCCTTTCACTGAGATTATGCTTCAAGTTTTCCTAATAATACTTAATTAAAAAAATCAGTTTACCAAAATGCCAAGAAATATATAAAATTCTATTGATACATCACAATTTGAAATGTATGCTTAATACTTTTTTGTTACAAAAAATAATATCCAGTCCTTTTAGTCTTCATCTCCAGCTCAATTAAACACTAAGTCACAACTTTGTCTTTCACATCCAGGGTTCCCATCCTTCCCAAGTTCTGCCAAGGATATTTGGGTCGGTGGCTTGATCAATAAGGCATTTCACTTGTATTTCTTCTGTAAGTCCATCCTGTGATTCTCTGGCCCGGATGTTGAACTGTTTGCTCCCTTGTGCTACAGACACATACTCCCTGAAGGTCTCAGATTTCTCATGGCCCAGGCGTAATTCATCACTTAAAAATAAAAAAAAGCTTGTGTATAGTAGTTATTTGATGAACCATCTTTACCCAATTACTTCTTCCTGTCCTACCAGATCTCTACTACACCTGGCATGCAGCTGGCTGTGTCATTTTGGGCAGGGGTTCCCAACCTGTGGGCCGTGAACAACTACTGGGCCGTGAGCTGTTGGTCACTGGGCCACATAAGTGGCTGGCCAGTGCATGTGTGCGTGCACAAACCCCCACTCGCACTAGTGTTGCAGCGTTGTGTGGATGCTAGCATTGCCACAAGACAAACCCCACTCACACTAACATCACGGCATCATTCAGGCCATGTTGAGTCATGAGCATTGTGTGGGCGCTAGCATTACAAGCACACACCCCCACTCGTGCTAGCATCACAGCGTTATGTGGGTGCTAGTGATGTTGCAAGCGTGCAGGCACTAGCGTCATTGTGAGCACACTCCCCCATTCACACTAGCATCGTAGCATCACATAGGCGCTCCTGTGCCAAGTGTGACACAGGTGCTTGTGGCCCTGTTTGCGTCGCATACGCAACTGCTGCCCATTTCTGCATGCATTTGTGGCCCCGTTAACACATGCCCATGAGTAAAGGCGCCTTCATCCCCCCCAGGCCACCAACCCAGAAAGATTGGGGACCTCTGATTTAGGGACCTACATTTGGCAGGCCTACTTGGCTGTGGTGCCTGTGTTGCAGAATATCCTCCCTCCCTGAGATTGGGTTGCAACCATCACTCCTGACTTTCTGAAGATCCCTCAAGATCTGGTTGTATGCCATTGGTCCTCAGGACCTTCGGTAATAGGCAATCTACTAAGATGGCTCTGTCATTATTAACATCCCTTGGCCCATTATTTGTTTTAGCTGCATGTTTAATGTTTTAATACAAATAACTGTTATTTGCAAATTATAATTTTTTAACTTTGTTTTACACCACCCAGAGGCACTAGTTTTGGAGCTGGGTGGCACAATACATATACTTTACTATATATAACAACATGGGTATTAGTCTTGTATTTCACTAACACTGTGTTTTACAAAAGAGGCACCAGGTGTTATTTTCAAGGGATGTCTTATACTCACCTCCGGCACCGACAGTCCCACCCAGCCAGTTCACTTCTGCAGCCAAAGGAGCAGCTTCATTCTGCAGTTGCATTCCAGCCTGCATTTCGCAGTCAGACCTTTCTGGAAGGCTACTGCAGCTGAGAACCAAGTTATGGATTCCATCCATAGCTCGGTTCTCGGCTGCAATGGCCTTCCAGAAAGGCCTGTGACTAAGAAATGCAGGCCTGGCTGCAGAAGTGGGTCGGCGAGGAGAGGCCTGGCTGCAAGGTAAGTGGATGTGGGGCAGCTCCACATCCCCACCCGTTTGATTTTTAGGTGTGCCTCGCCCCAGAACTAGGGCTTATTTTGGGGATAGTTTATATAAGGCCCACCCCCAAAAAATCAAGCTAGGGCTTATTTGGGGGGAAGGCCTTATTTTTGGGAAAACGGTATCTGAAGAACCTAAGGAATATAAATAGCTATGAGGCAAAGTATGCATTCAAAGCTCATGTGTTGCCTCGCATATTTAAAATACTTAAATTATGTTCCATATTTGATTTATGAGAGCTCTTACACACAAAATCATCCTCACAATGTAGTCTTCAAGAAATGAGCACGAATGAGTGCTTATTATAGTTGTATAAAACAGATAAAAGCTGAAATATTTTCATCCCCAAATGTTCTTTCCTGGCATTATAAAAAAACATATTGTCCTGCTCCATTTTCAGAATAGGTGAATCTGGCTATAATGGCTCATTTGATAACTGGACAGAAAATTCTCCAAATATTTTGCAGACTTTAAATAAATTCATCTAGAAGTAGAACATGATATTAAAATTCCTATTTTTCAGGAAATAATTCTTGCATTTGCATTTTTAATTCAGATCTGCACATTTAAAATGTCAAATTCATACCAGGTAATCACAGCTGGATTAGCCCCTGCCAACTTCCTTCTTGCAAATTTTACTTTTTGTAGAGGATACCAATTCACTTCATCTGTATTTATTTCCTTAGTCCATGTACCTCCTTTTCTCAACTGTTTCAGTTCAAAATTCTAAGGAGAAAAAAAGTCAATCTATGAAACCAATATTGTATAATACAGTTCATATTATCAATCGAAGTTTAAATTCCTACTTCATGTGTGTATGTGTATATATACTGAATCTTAGAGAACACATCTATCTTCAAAGTGATTTTATAAAAGAAAATAGTATTTACCTTAAATTTCTGAAAGGCAAATTTACTTTGCCATATTTATTTACTGAAGGAAAAGTGGGGTTAAAATGTAGGAAGAAACTATTTAAAATTCAGTGTTTGTTTGTTGAGTAGCAATTCATTTAACATTTTCCCCTATTTTCAGATATGCCAAAATTAAACCATTAAGTCAATAGCTTACTTTCCAATCCAAAGAAGGTTCCTTTACAAATATATCCATAGTATTAATAAGAACATCTTGATTTATACGGTAGGCTCTTAAAGAATGTACCATCACACTGTATATAAGACCAGATTCTTTCATTGGCAGCATCAAATTAACAAATTGTCGAGTCAAACGGAAAGGCATCAATTCTGGAACTTGCAGAAACTACAAACAAAGAATAAAATTATGAAAAAAATCCATGTAGTAAACAGGAAAAACTTAACTTTTTTAGCAGAAGTAAAAACATGTTACAGAAACATGGCTTCTAGTTATAAATGCATGCATTAGTACATTGTTATGTCTATATTGTTTCTGACATTTAAGACACTCAAAGAAGCTATTAAGTTACTAAGGGTGCAAAATAAAGGGACTGGCAAGTACTTTCCCTTTAAATGTCATATCCATTCTGCCTAGCAGGAAATGTCTGTTATTGTAGAAGCATGTGATGAAAGCAAGCACTGACCTAGAAGGCTATTACATTTTGGTCCTCTTAGCTACTGGAATTGTGATAGCGGAAAGGTGGTGGTGGTGGTGGGGGGAAATGATGCTCTGAATGAATTCTCTGGACATGGCAAAGAACAAGAGCTCAAGGGACCTCATACCTTCTGTGAACAGAAAAAAAAAAAGCCTCTAAAGTCCCATGGTTCCTCAAAAATATCCCCTGAGGCTGTCAGATGTTTTCTACCCTGGTTTCATTCAATAGAGCTAAATGTGTTTGCTGTAAACATTAGAATAAGGACAAGAGGAGAATACCTGTGTTGCTGAACCAAACGCATGTCCAAAGTCTATTCCCACCAAGCCTCCAGTCTCCATACTAATCATAAAATTTGATAAGTGTCGATCACCAATGCCAAGAATCCAGTGGCTGATGCACAGCAGTGCATGGGTGCTGGCAAAATGGGATCGCAGAGACAGCAAGGCTTCTGGAGTTGCACTCATTTTAACAAAGGCTTTCCTTTAGAAAATAAATAGATTTTATATTAGCTGAATATAAACCACCTGAACTACCTTCAGATAATTCCTGGAAATCACAACATTAGAAACTCAGAAATATGGGTTTTCTCCTTATCTTTTCAGACATGTGATAAAAAGTGAAATAAAACAACAACAAAAATTAAGAGTGATTTGTGGAGTAGTAAATATTGCTACTCTATTCACTACTCTTATTTCAAGGCCAAGAGCTTTGCAAGAACACCCTTACCTTAGCAAATCTTCAGGAACACGGTTTTCTCGACGCTGGAAGGACGTAACTACTTCTGTTCGGCTAGCTCTTCTGAAAATTAGAGCAAATAGTGAGAATTATAGTTAGGCAAATATGTGAACTGCAATTAAGAATTGTGTAGCAATGTTTATTTTTAATCTGTGCTTATCCTGAATCCTTATTTTTTGCTCTGTCAGTCTATAAACTAAAAACTACTAGGGTGTGAAGCACCAACAACAGTTAAAGTGTAGTACAGAGAATTTTATTCTAAAATAATTCTGTTTTGGCATTTTAATATCAATGTTTTACAATGTATAAATACTTGTACAAAAACACCAAAATATTTGCATCAAAGATAGGCACAACTAAACATAAATTGTGTTGTGTTGTATACTTCTGTGGCGATTATTTAAAAGGATACAACTTATGCAATCATATATTGAATGTAATTAAACTAAATTGTTCTTAATTCCAAAGATATTCTTCTTACCTGCTTGCAGATTACTAAAACACAATCATAGACTTGCAACCATTCCTTAATTAACATTCTTCTGTGTCTCTATAGTATCTTTTAGTTGTTACCTTTTGTTTTTACTGTGCTTTAGGTATGCTGACAGAATTTGGTCCTGCCTCATAAGTATACTTTAAGCCTATAACAATTGCCATACAGCTCACCTTTGTATTTGGGCCTTCGCAATACAAAAATACATTTATTTATAAAATGATCACAAAAACTTAACACATGGTATCATATCTGGTGGTCGTGTAAAAATATAAAAGCCT